AGGCCGCCGGCGCCTCGGAGGGGACGGGGCGGCTCGGTCCTGCTGGGCGCGGGCGCGTCACAGCGCCAGCTCTGCCTCCGCTCCCCTTGTTTTCATGGAAGTCCTAAATAAATACCCACTAAATCAAACTCAACAGACTGATTCCTACACTGCAATTTGAACGTGGAAACAAAATGCAGATTATTTGAGTTAACGAATCAGGGGGAAAACTGATACAAATTGCCTTATTACTACTGGGGGCAAATACCACTATTTTATTTAAGTAATTTGCTCTGCTTTAGACTGCTAGAGTATATATTTTAAGTATCCATACAGTTTTTGTTTGTTTGTTTGTTTGTTTCGATTTTTTTTAATCTTTATTGTTGAAAGCATTACAGATGTTCCCCCTTTCCCCCATTGATCCCTTCCACCTCACTCTACAGTTTTAAACATCTACAAATAATAGTTTTTTTAGACTACTCCCACTACTAAAAAATTACCAATTTTTTTTAACATTTATAAATTTTTTTTTTTTTTTTTTTTTTTGCATAAGGAAAAATTTCAATACATATTTGGCCTAACCAGCCTCAGCGCTTGGACTTTTCAAGTTACCTAATGGAACCAAACTCCTTTTTGCTTAAACAACTTTGAGGTGGGTTTCTATCTATTGTAACCAACTAGTGCTGAGTTTTTTTCTGTTCTACAGTATGTTTTGGAACTAGTACGCTTACATGAATGAGCTTTGTCCACGTGCTAACAAAAGAGATTGTTGCTGCTGCTGTTATTTTATTCAGAGGGAATCTAGAAAAAGAAAGTCTTGCATGAGTTTTCTGTCTTTTTAATCCGTTGGACAAATTTTTGAATGTTGATTAATCTAATAACAAGAATCAGTTGATTATTAACTTTTAGTCTTGGCATTTGGCGTACCTACAAGATGATTTTGTAGCAAGCAAAAATATGTAGTGATTAGCCAAACATCTTTATAGTACAATGTGATTGTTATTCTGACTTTTAAGTGATTGTAATCGAAGTTTGAGTATCAAAGGTAAGTTCCCAATAACTGGATATCAAAGAGGAAAACGTGAATTTCAGCTCTTACCTCACATTACAGGCATCAAAAGTAATGCAAGATAAATTATAAACTGAAACATAAGGAATATTTTTAAATGATCAATGGGTATATAAAAAGGTATTCAACACCATTGGTCATCAGAGAAATGCAAATTAAAACGGCAATAAATGTCATTTCACACCCACAAAAATGGTCAAAATTTAAAAAGACTAACAACACTAAATTTTGGCTAGGATCTAGAGAAACCAGAAGTCTCCTACATTAATGATGGGAGTGAAAAATGGTAAAACTACTTTGGAAAATGGTTTGGCAGGTGTTTTTTTAATGATAAGTGTACACCCACAGGATGACTCAACAATTCTATTCATAGTCACCCAAGAGAACAGAAACATATGTCCACACACAAAAAAAAGTTTTACATAAATGCTTGTGCTAGCTTTACTTATAAATGATAAATGATAAAAACTGGAAACAACTCAAAGTATATCAAGAGGAGAATGGATAAATTATGGCATATTCAACAGTTAAAAAGTGGCAAATATAAATAGGTTAAAACCAATCATTTTCTTCTGTTACTTAGATGATTAAAATGATCTTTTAAGTCCATTATATACAGTGTGGAAAAATTAATTTCCTAAAATTAGATCATTTAATACAAGTTCATTTTTTAAAAATAAACCAAAATAGATTCCATTCCTTATTGGATAAAACCAGAGCTTTTAATTTAAAGCCTTCAATAAGATGATTAGAATGTAAGTCTCTCTTGCCATTTCTCAGGCCAACGCAGTATGTCTTAGAGCCTCTCCTTCCAAAACTATACATCTTTCAATCAAAAGGGAGAACAAACAAGAACAGATACCTATTGATATCATTGCCTTTGCACTGTGCTTGTGTGTAGTTGCACCTACCATATAAACTCCCACAAAAGTATCTCTTTCCCTTCATTTCATCTTTACCATAATATATTTTATATTTTATGAATATAAATACAAATAAATACTCTTATTTTATGAATATATATAATATCTTACCTTAAACTTGACTGTAACTTAATCTTCTTTATTTCTCATTGTTTTCCCTGAAAGTTCCCTATTCCGGCAACCTAGCATATTTCCTTACACATGGTAGGTGATCAGTAAACAGTTATAATTATCGGTGATTACATAATTATTTTTACCAACTATAAAAACTTTTTATCTCGCCTGGCTGGGCATGGCTCAGCGATTGAGCATCGACCTAGGATCCAGGCGATGGGGTTTGATTCCTGGTCAGGGCACATGCCCGGGTTGCGGGCTCGATCCCCAGTCGGGGGCGTGCAGGAGGCAGCCGATCAATGACTCTCTCATCATTGATGTTTCTATCTCTCTCTCTCTTTCCTTTCCTCTCTATGAAATCAATAAAGATATATTTTTTTTAAAAACTTTTTATCTCAAATATTATTATGGAATGTTAAGTTTTGCGATATCCAATATTAAAGTAGGTAACTGCTGTTAACAATATTAAATATTTGAACTTTATTTCACTCTTTTCAAAGCGCTTTCAAATGGAATTGTGTGTAATCTTTTTTTAAAAATATATCTTTATTGATTTCAGAGAGAGGAGGGAGGGGGGAGAGAGAGAGAGAAACATCAATGATGAGAGAGTCATTGATCGAGCCCACAACTCGGGCATGTGCCCTGACCAGGAATCGAACCCGATCGCCTGGATCCTAGGTCAACGCTCAGCCGCTGAGCCACTCCCGGCTGGGCGGAATTGTATTTAATCTTGAAGTTTGACCTGAATTCTATCAGTACTATCATTATAAGAGTTTTTAAAATAAGAGTTAAATAAATAAACATAAGTTTTTATTTACAAAAGTGCATAATTGTATTTAGTATCCTTTGTATACAAGTTTATTTATTTAATGGCATGTCTATAGTCTGTGGTAGAACTGAAGATATTCTGGAATTTTTCTTGTTCTCCAAGCAAGGAGATCTCCATTCCACTATAAATGAAATCTTTGAGATAGTACATGTTTAAAATGAATTACTGAGACATGCAACAATATAGATGAATCTCAAAAACATTACACTAAATGAAAAAAATAACACAAAAGAGAGTATTTACTGTGTAAATCCATTTATATAAAGTTCTAGAATAGACAAAACTATTCTATGGTGATGGAAATCAGAACTACGATTGTCTGGGGAGCCACACGGTTGAGAACTATATTGAGGACAGGAGGAAAATTTCCAGAGTGATGAAAATATTCTACATCTTGATACAGGTGTGAGTTGTTGCATAGGTGTAAGCATTTGTTAAAACTCTTCAAAGTGTAACTTTGTGTGTGTGTGTTTTAACTTCTTTAATAATACAGTCAAAATTTTAACACTAGAAGTATTCACAATTCTAATTAGTATGCAAACAATTATAAAGAACAAAAGGCTAAACACATTTGTGAACACACTGCAGCATCTGTCTTTAGGTTCATGAGCCGCCCAACACATTTTAAATGTATAGCATATGAAGCCACAGACCATAGGACTAGAAGGCAACCCCACAAGTTAATAGCTTAACTATAATCAGATTCATCTTGATAATTAATGTTTAACTCATGTGATTGTCATAGATGCACATAGATGTCAACCACATGGAAGTCAACCATAGGGCCTTGCAAGTGTGGAAGGCCATTTACAGTTAAGATTGAGTACAATTGACAACCAGAATAAAATAAACTCCTTTACTGTTTAATATTTTCAATATGAGCACTTAAAATATTAATATGAGATAAAATTTCACTATTTAAACTCACATTACATGTACCAAAATTATAAATAAATACAGCATATCAGTGCATTTCATTCTATTTAAATTAAATCACTGTTTATAAAAAAAAAAAATTCAGTCAATTCTCAAGAAGAAAATTGCTGAGTGAGCAATAAGTTAGAGTTCCCTAACCTGCAAATCGGGTCCCATACCTTGAATCCTGATTACGCAGACCCAAACAGATCCCGCAGTCGGAAAGGCCAGACTCAGAGTCACCAGGGTCTTAGGAGGTCTAGCAAACCCTGTGTAATGAGGCAGACAACTGATGGAGGTTTACCTGAAAAACAAAAAATAAGAATTCAGATATTTGAAAACAGATTGTTCAGAGACACCTGGCGAGAAGCAAATTCCTGGGTTCCATTCCAGGGACTATCACTCAGTATCAGGACTCAAGACTCTTCAGGAAATGAAGGTGATGAAGAATTGGCTTTCCACCAACAAATGAATGGCAAGGGACTCAGGAATAAAGGACTCTAAAGGACTCAAGTCCGTGAAATTAGAGTGTCAAGTAAAACTTCAATTTCTGAATCCAAGCTTCAAGTGCATTCAT